TCAGGCCAAAATCCTTGCTATTGAGGGGTGGTGCAGTCGCTGAAAAACGTGCATTCAGCCAGAAAAGTCCAAGATTCTACTCATTCGAAATCGCAGACAGAGGAAACGGGTCAGAAGTGAGGTTAAACTTTTTGGCAAAATCATCCCTACAGTTGATAAAGCTAATTACTTGGGAGTTACCCTTAACAAGAACTACAATTGGAAGGATCATATGCTTAGAGTAAGCGGAAAAGCACATTTTCAGGCTTTTCCCTCTCCTAAAGAATGAAAACCTCACCCTCAGACTGAAAAAGAGGATTTATGAAACTGTAATCCGACCCATTCTCACGTATGCTTCCCCAGCCTGGGCAAACTACAAAGCAAACGAAATTAGCAAACTCCAAGTGCTTCAAAATAAGGTGCTAAGAATCATCACAAAAGCTCCTTACTTTGCTCGGAATAGGACCCTCCACTCCGACTTGAAAATAGATACTATTCAGAACTACCTCAGCAGAATAAACAACAACTTTTTTAATATTATCAATGTGAATCCCACTAATTTCACGGACATTCTTATCTACGAAATCCTGGCTGAAGACAAAATCCTCCGCCCATTTGCCGCCCACCTCTTGAGTTCAGAATTCTAAGTTCCAGTTTTCTGGTTTTCAAGCAGCATCGATCGGAGTCAATTTCTGGGAGGGTGACCTCCCACGTGACTGGCTCCGACGAATGAACAGTTAGTATTCGGGCTATCCTGCACAGGTCATCCGAAGTTTCTTTCTCCGGCCCCTGCTTGGCAGATTCCATCCAAGATGTAGCAGTACAGGAGCAAAGTGCTTCTTTTTCTCTTTCTCTCTCTCCAGCACACTTCTACCTCCACGAAAGAAAATTTCTTTCAGGTTTCTACTCTGTCAGGCCTCACATGGGATCACACCAGGAATTACTATCTTTATACTTGGCAAGAGCAGGACTTTAATTTCCTGCTGAAAGCCAGTATAACCGCAAAGTTCCAAAAAAAAAAAAAAAAAGTTCCCATGACTACATCAGAGGCAGAACGCTGCTTTTCAACACTGAAAAGAATGAACACTTTTCTAAGAAGCACTAGGAATTCGGAAAGAATAAATGCGCTTGCAATGGCTTTCAATAAAGAAAAATTTCCTCAGTTGTCATCCAGAGATCAAGGAGAAAATAAATGTTTTCGCGCAAATTAAAACAAGAATGGACTTCATTTTTAAATGAACAGACAAACACTGAACTGTAACAATTTTGGTTAAATTAAGAAATATTTAATTTTTTTCTTGTAAAATTTCATGAAGTTTCAAAATAAATTTTGTTTTTATAAATGTTTCCTTTTAGACAATTTTACAACAAAGGTTAAATTTTTTTTTGGAACAGCACCCCCACTAATTTTAGCCACGAGCCGCCATTTCACATACTATCAACATTTCATACATAGCTTTCAGATATGAAACACTTCTCTTCACCCACAGTGCCATCAAACAGGAGAAGAGCATCAAGACAAAGCTAGCAGCCGCACGTTAAAACTCACTGTTAATTTTTTAAAAAAAAATTTCTTAAAGACAATACCTATTTAAAGAAAAACTTTAATTTAGTAACTTTTCATTAACATTAACTTTTTTAGTCTCTAATTTACGAAGCTGATGGTAGTCTATAATTTCTCATTATATCCATTTCGTAATGCTTCATCATTGCAAGGAAATTTTCCAGCGAGTTTAGAGCAGTCCAGTTAAATTAATATTCCATCTAATGATTTCACACGACTCAAGGCGATATATGCTTCGCCTGCTGCGAAGAGTTCTCTTCCTAGATATATTACTGCATAATCAACACTTTAAAAAACTGTAGAACTCTTACTGTTCTCACTTATTTTCGTTAGATATTACAATCCCATTTATCAGTCATATACTATTATTTATAAGGTTTTATAAAATTTTTACAGCACGTAAGAATTCCTAATAAACGGTCATTTCTTCTTGAAGCTTGGCTTCAGTTTGAAACGATCATTATTTGCAAGTCTAATATATTTCTTTAGTTCTTAGTAATAGTTCTGGTTGATCTTTACATTATGGTAACTTGGCGTTTTTTTGGCGAAAATTTGGCGACCAACTCTCCTACAGCAACCCTCTATTTTTTTTTCCCGCCGCCATTTTGTCTTCACGAAGTAAAGACATGTTACTTTTCTTTTTATCTAGTGAACACTTCTTCCAACAATCTACTAGCCGAATTACACTAATGCTAGAAATTTTATCTAACAAAACTGCTTAATCATGACAAATATTAACTGCAAAATTGGGAAAAAGTGCACAATACCATACTCCTTACGCGTTTTTCAAAATAACACATACACATAAACCATGTACACGCCGACTTATTTTTACTTAAAAAAACATCCCAGAATTGCACAAAAATGACATTGCGCACACTCTTCACTATATCCATGTACACTGCTTTTTCTCATAAATTAGAAAAATTTCACGAAAATACATGACAATTTTCTCAATCTTTAAACCCGGTAAAAAGAACATATATGAAATTACCTGATCGCGAAAAAGTATTTACCCTTTCCAAATATGAACATTTCCACATATAAAATAAATAAAATATCCAAAAACTTTTACCTCTAAATCATCTATTACATTATACACGTCACCAACGAATTCATACCGCAACCATTACAAATACTTATTGTCAGATATTTAAATTATTTCCATGCACGTTTACTTCAACTAAAACGTATACCAAATTCCTACAAACATAAAATTCACAAAATAACTATCATTTAATTAAAATATAATTAAATTCAAAAACACTACTTAAAATATAAATGAGCAGATACATTAAATTAATACATACATAAATACCCATTTCGAATTCACTTTAGTTACGGCCATAGGATCCAAAAATTCACGAACACTGTTTCACACAACACAGAATAAAGCCAAATACAAAATTTCCAGATTTTTTCCCGATTTCCCCCCTTTTCCGATTAAAGAACCGTAATTCGTCCATTAATATCACATGACATATCCCATGATCTCTCATTTCCCTCACAAAATAATGCGTAATCCGAACTCAGTACTGCTCACATTTTTACCAAAGTGCCAGGTAGTAACCTTTATCGCCTCCAAAATGTCGCCAAACTACCAGTTACCTTACTGTAAAGATCAACCACAATTCTTTAGTTCCGATAAACAGGAATAAATACGTAGGAATTGACTTTAATATGTGAAAAATTTGTATTAACATCAAGAGTCATCGACTACAAGTTAAAAAATGTATTTCAACTTGTGTGAATGACTGAGAAGTATTTTATTAACGATTGAAAATATGAAAGAGATATAGGGTGTGGTTGGTTGTGTTCAATCTTACCTCGCTGATCTATGCAAAATGTAGAAAAGGCCTCCAGAGGGCAGTGCTGTGCAAAAATGGAAAACGCAGTGTTCCAGTGCCTCCTAGATATATAATCTAGGAGGCACTGAGTGTTCTCGCTTGGGAGAGGAGAGTGTTTCCGCCTTTGTGGCGAAAGTGTTTAAATCATTATAGAGATGTTATGAAATAAAGCTACAGTCCTAACTTACAAGTGTTTTCGAGTTATTGAGAAGTTGTGATTAATGTTAAATAGCTACTGCACCAATGTTCTGTTTCTATATTTTGCCGTAAAAATCATGGGCACCAATGCAGTATTACTACTTCCTCTTAGGGAGGAAACGAATGCAGAAACAGACAGGTGAAACCGTAACTAGCTAAATATCAACTGCGAAACTAAACTCTTAAGAGTTTGCTAATTACCAAACTTTTAGTGACCGTATAAGTGAATTTTTAATGCATTGCGTTGTGAAAATGCATCCGGGACCACGCCGTGAGAGGATCGAATAAATAACTTGTAAAATCAATATATATATAAGAAAAACACATAAAGGATATGAAGAAAACATAATAGGGTTCCAGATTAAATACCAGTTTATTCAAATTCCTCACAATTAAAAATTAATCTTATCCTAATCAGGGAGTCAAACTTCTTATTTTTGTTAGTTTCAATTTACTTATTTTAGACACAGGTGAATTCTTATATTTGTCATTTACCTTTTGTTACATTTAAATTCATGATTTGCAAATTTATTACATGACTTAATCTAACCCTTCACTCATAACCCTATTAAATCTCTTGATGCATCATCTATGCATTTTTGCGCTTTTGTACTTTTAAATAGCGGATTGTCCTGACGTCGATCTACAACCTTCCTTGGACTTTGGAAGCTGTTGAAGAATGTGATAAAATAACTCTTCCGCTACTAAAGAAGCTTCATCTTGGAAATTACAGTGCAAGAGGATAAAGAAACAAGGTTTATCAAATGAAACAGAAGCAAAAATTTTAGGTGGAGTATTGCTGTAGGTACACTAAAATTAGCCTAAAAATTGTGCGAACTGTCTTGGTAAGCTTCAAATTTCAAGAAATATTCTTCACGTTCGGTAAGTTTTGATAAAATTTGTCGTACTTTTAAATTTTTCCCAGTTTACAGCATTTCATTGCTTACGGAAAGTAAAAATTTAAACTTAACATCGCTTTCAGACCAATAATTTGCTCAAATTAGGATTTGTTTGGTTTATATGATTATGGTAGAGCAGTCGACGGCAGTCTTTGTAAGAGGAGGGATGCCTTCGTCGAGGGCTCTCAAAGGAAATGTAGCTCGTATACACGTTAAACACGTGGAAAACCACGAAAACGTAGACGCAGGTAGCCCGTTCGCTGAGTTTCGAGCCCCGGAGCGAACTACCAGCGTTTAGCGACTTAGACTTAACCACTCGGGAACTCTAAAGAATGTTAGTTTTTTTTACCACTATAGGGATATTTTAAGTAAAAATTGAATTCTGCTAGAAAACTTTATAAAAAGGTCTAGATATGTTTGACAGAAGATGCGCAATTTCAGTTTAGAACATTGCTCAAGTCTTAAATAATATTGCAAGTAATAAGATAAATACGCATAATTCAAAATTAAGAAATGACTTTATTGTTGCCAATTTATTATAAAACATTAAAAAGTCAACAATATTTAGTATAAATTAGCTTGTGGAAAAGTAAAGATTTAAAATTTACATTTTCAGTATAAAACCAGTTAAAATACAAAATTAAATATCTAAAATGCATTCATCTTCCGAATTCTACATTCCACGTCATGTATAATATGATGTCATGAATCTTAAAATCTAAATACGTGACGCATCAGTAGAAATGGGAACATTAGTCGTCATAATGTTGACATCGTACAAACGCAGCACGATTTCTTGGACTTCCTCCAGTCTCTTCCTGCGGTCGCCAGCAATGAATACTGGAAATTTTCGGTCTAATTTCAAATCTTCAGGTAGCTCGCTCCAGTGCCTGGAAGACAGTCGCAGTTTTGAATAACTTAATGACAACTTATTCAGATGGGAATGACTTTGTACATATGTAATTTCACTAAAACTATACAGGAAAAATATAACCATTTCAGATATGATGCAACATAAAACGCTCGAACATAAAAAACATTGCCATCTGTTAGGGACAGCTAAGATTGTTTTTATCCGTTATGAAAGTTATTTTAGAATGAAGGTCAAGAAATGTATAGTTAAATTTAGTTCCTTCTTGAACGAAGTAAACAACCTTAAATTTCTCAAGTTCAGGCGACATTTATTACAAGTCTCGTGTGTTTAGGAATATTCTTTATCGGCAAGAGAGGGCGTTAGTAGACCATCTATTAACTTAACCCTTCCCCTTCTGAACAAATGACTTGAAAATTTTATTCTTCTTGAAGGAAGAATTCGATGCACTACGCAATACAATTCGATTTAGATTCTTTGATGGGACTATTTAGTTCTTGCTTTTTGAGCCTTAATATTTGATTCAGGCATTTTAGTCTACATTGTATATATGCAAATATTAAGTTTAATTAAAATTTATGTAAAAACCTCCAAGCCATGCATCTTATTTTAGATTATGAGCAATTCGAATTTGATCTAGAATTTCGTTTCAGACAATAAAAACTACAGTCGAAATCACGTACGTTTTCTCCCTGGAAGTAAAAGTTTTGCACATAGACATCCAGAGAAAATTGTTTAGCCGGTGTTTTTCCGTAAAGAAAAGTTTGTAAAAAAGCTTTCATATAATGAATTTGCGCCTTCAATCAAGAGTTGTACGAGTGAAGTACAGAACTTGCTTCAATTCAGAATCCTCTTCACATTATCCGGAAAAAAATGTCAATTTTGGACTTTTAGTCTTAAAGTTACAAAAAATCGGATGCGCACAGACTTCCTAGCACATCCTATGAAATTATATACATTTTTTACTGCGCTTCACTTAAAACTTTTTCGAATTATTCCAACTTAATTAACCGATTCCTCTAGGCAAGTTGAAAATGACATGAAAAATTGGAAATCTTGAAATTAAACATCTGGGCCAATTTCGGTAGTAGGAGCTCAAACTGCATATAATTTTTTTTAACGAATATAAAATCTTTCCGAGTATAAGTACAAGTACCAAGAAACTACATGTAAAGTTAGGTTATTTGCCGGAAATTATTTTTTTAAATTTGACATTGCCAAAACAAATATTTTCATACTTTAAAAGACTCCTGCAACTAGTAGTATACGACAATAAAGGCCATTTAAAGGGGCAGGTGTATCTATACGTTTGGTACTATGGATAGTAGTAAAAGGTGCACAACTATGTTACAGCAGACCCATATACAAAATTTCAGCGTTCTAATAGTTTTCGAGGTGGGCGTAATACATAGATACCTCTTCGACCATCTCTATGCCATTCCATCTTCATTTGAGCGCCGGCCAACGTAGCAGTAGCATCACTTAGGTTTTTCTCGCAGCTCCAGCCATGAACACGACTAACTCTCCGTGCTGTTTATGCGAAAGGCTCATCTACTGCTTATCACGTTCACTACTTATCACGAGGAATCTTCCTCGTCTAAGTAATATGCCATGCTATGCCAGAAAAAAGATATGCCACTTCACACGTGATACACAGGATGCAGCTTTCCCAGTCGAGGCGCCTGAAGAAGTGCCCAGCACCTGAGCCTAATACATAGATGCGTACCTAATGACATCACGAAAAGTTCCCTTGTGAATCCATTTTAAAACCTATTTTAGAAAAAAAAAAATAGTCCTTTAATTTGTTCGTACCTATACAAGTCATGCAAAAAATCGTTAAAATGTGTTTGGAAACTCAAAATGTATTTCCGTTTAAATGTGATAACCTGAAATTTTCGCGAATACAATACTTTATTCTCCTCCCCCCCAAATGGCGGGTACTTGCCTATAACGGCATTGGCCACTCCCGAGGCCAAAAATGGTGGTCATTTTATTGTGGAGGCACCGAATAGGCGGTCACCATTACCTCATATGAAGGGACAGACTTACATCCGTGCCTTCTCCGGGATTCGAACCCATGCCCTCCGGTATCCCAGTCAGGCTCCCTTAATCACTATAGTGTCTGGGCGGTCTCCTTCGCTTTGTACAAGGAAGTAAAAAAGGAAATTTTGTGAAACTGTTTACTGTAAATTAAGAACAGAGTTTGGCTTATTTTCAACAAAAGTAATGACAATAAAACCGAAATCCTCAGTCATTTTTATAGCGCTGACGTAATGACTAACAAACAGAAGTGTTTAAAGAAAAAAAATTAAGAACTTGTCAGGTATGATAATTAAACTCACATTAATTTATATACTGATTTAAACATATTAATATTTAAAGTCTTACTTTGTCATCGAAAAGTTATCTGAAGCAATATAACCGAGGAACTTGAAACAGAAGTGCATAACCTGAAAATAAAAATTTCAATTCATTGATTTTAATTCAAATAAAATAAAAATATTACTTTAGCAAATAAAGATTCTGCAGAATGATACAACTATTCGATTGCGAGAAAACACGCAAGGGCTGTGTTCCTAAGGCGGAAGGATGCCTTCGTGGGAGAGTCTAGGGAATATCGCACGTTGAATACATGAAAACTACGCAAAGCACATGTAGCAAGCCCGGTCGCAGCGATTCGAACTACCAGTATTTAGGGAATTTTCCGTTCTGTCATTGGTGGGCTTTGGTAGGATAGCCCCCAAGTAGCACATGACGTAGCAAAGACGTTACAACAACCTCTTTGCAACCTCTGGGACCAGTTTGCAACGTCTTTGCTACGTCATATGCTACTTGGGCCTGCACAGAATTTTAATTTGCAATTGACTAACGATAATTTTAATTTATAATACAGAAGTACTAAACAGGATATTTGTTTAGTGTTCCAATTAGTTACCTACTATTATAAGCTATAATGAACTTTTACCTTTTCGAAGACCATTCCTGATAAGGTACTCCAGAAAATTCGAACAAGTCTTAATTCAGGCAAACGTCTTCTGCAGTGAAATGGAATCTAGATTTTCGATCATTTATAGATTGTTCCATTTACCATTTCAAAAAAAATTCCATATTCTTTTAAAAATTTTGTAGCAAGATCTCAAAAGCGCACTTTCTCAATAAAGAGTTATTTTGAAAGATTAAATGGAAGTGCAAAAATGGCATAGTTCTCACCACACAAGAGTCCGGTTAGTTTATTTCCAATACAGCAAAACACATTAGTGAGATTTGTGTAAAGGGAGAGATGCTTTCGTGGAGGTTGTTCTGAGGCAGTCGCCTTTAAACTTCTGAGCCATTATACCATTTTTAAATCCTACCGTGAGCTCCCCAAAAGAACTAACAACTTTAAAAAAATCTTGCAATTATTGCTTATAAACTTACATTTCTAATTAATTTGGAATTAATTGATTTAACTGTATATAACAAAAAGGAAATTGAAATCGAATTGCAAACAAAAGAAATTGTAGTTGGTAATAAAAGTAATACTTTTCTATCGGACTGATTAAACATTAACGAGGAAGATAACTCTTTAGTCATCAACAAGTTTTTAATGTTGGGAGAGTAGAACAACGGCGATTTCGCCGTCAAGACATCCATCTTCACTCGACTTGTAAGACTTCTTTACACATCTTGCCGTATTACATCAAGATGATTTAAACTAATTACTCTGTTTAGTTTAATAATTCAACCCAATTTGATAAACATTTTACGTAAAATCTTGTGTACAGTTTCATACAAATACACCGTTACATATTAATTTTGAAAGAGTAAGGTGCTGATAAGATTCCAAAGTAATTCCGTTTTCCCATTCAGATTTCACGAAAATATGAATTTCCCGCTTGTATGAGGGATTTTTCTGAACTAGCAGATTAAAATTTCAGAAAATATTGCACCCGCATAAATTTAAAACCGATAATAAAACTTCTGTTACATTAGATGTTTAGGCCCAGTTCTCTTCGATACTGCCATAATTTTCCATCTATGTGCAATTTCTCATGCTTGTAAATAACTACAGATATATTAAAAGCAACTTTCATTAAGAATACAAAAGGTAAACGGAATTATTAAACTAAATAAATTTAATGCGAGTATAATACGTCAAGATAAAGTAGTCATGAAATATATCTTGAATATATACAAGAAAATCTTGAATATATACAAGAAAAATATATCTTGAATAAATACAAGTATATATACAAGATACAAGTATATATACATTAAATATATCTTGAATATGTACAAGAAAGAATATCTTGAATATATACAAGAAAAATATATCTTGACGCCGAAACGTCCCGAAATTAATTTTTCATACTGGAGAAAGATCTCAAAGATAAAGTTGCACATTGCCTTCACTTTGAGACAAACCCGGACCAAAATTGGGTATTTCTTAAAGAACAAGAGGCCAAATGTTTTCATAGCTTTAAGAATGAGATTTTACAGATAAATTATATTGAAAATCAATCATTTCTAGCTCCACTGCAGCAGTGTTCAATTTTCAGCGTGAGCTCAATGGAGTAATCAAGGTTAGGCAACGGAAGATAGCTAATGCGATCTACTGAAAAGTCAATCAATGGTTTGGCTATCACTGTTCTAAAGGAAGACTAGCTTGTACCAACGTCATACATGCTGAAAAATAAATTATGCAGCTAGCTTGCTCTCCTGGGATCGAACTCACAGCATTAAACGTTCTGCAGCACTCAGATACCGAGGGTCCATCCAAGTTAAGACTATAGAAATAGTTTTATATCAGTAGGGAACATAATCTACGAGGGAAGTTTAAGTTTTTCAAAATACTTCAGAACGAGCAGGAAGGGATGAATCGGAAGAAAAAATATGAAAACATCCGATGTGTACGCCACATGACCTCCTTGTACGAAATATTAAATTATACACAATTTTTTTGGTTGCATTTCATTTAAACTTTTTGCATCGAATTTCTTTGGATATATTTTTCATTCAGTTAATTCAGTTAATTTCGCAGCAAGGCAAAATTGCATAACATCTCAAACTATCTTCATTAAAATTTGAAAATTATAGAAACATAAAACAATTAAAACTACTTTCACTTAAAATTAGTTTCTAGGCCAAAAACAATTAAGCCATCGGCCAAGGCAGATGTTTGGGTGACAAAATTGAAAGTTTACCATTGGTCCCATTAGGCAAAAAGACACTGCAGGTGCAAAAACACAATTCACGATTCTGTTAAGTTTCAAATATGGCTGCTATGGTAGAAAAATTAGGATTAACTGCACTTAAAACAACTTTTAAATTGTTCATAATTCTACAACTATTGCATGCAGATTGAAGACAAAGACCTTAACCCGAAGATAAGATCATAATTCAATTATTTTTAAACTAAAAACGCGCAATTTTCCAACGTAGAAAAATGTTGAGATCACCGAGCCGAGTAACAGATTGGGTGTATATATTTATATACTTTTGGTGCGGCTGATTGCAACCAAGGGAGGTGCACAATTACATGTTATAACAGTCCTATACACAAAATTTCAACGTTCTGAGTCTACTCGTTTTTACGCGAGATTCATTCATACGTATACAGAGCCCGTGAAAAAACCTCTTCTGAATCCATTTTAAATCGGTTTTACATTTCGTTTGGGGCTCTTTATTCTGAAGTCTTATTCCATCCTTACGTACGGATATCATTCAAAAACATTGTTAAATTTCATTAGATAGCGATCAAAATGGATATTTCAGTTCAAATATACCCAAAAATTTTCGTGATTACAATACTTCCGTTAGAAGGAAGTAAAAACAGACCGAAAGAAATGTCTAAATAATTTTGACTTACCTCTTCCTTCTTACGAAGGCGTACCGGCAAATTATGCCTGAAATGGAACGTTTAAAATTAATATTTAGAATTAAACTAAGACTCTTTAAGCCTATGTTTTTCAAGACAAATTTGCTAAAAGTTATCCCATTTGAGGCATTTGACTTACCCGAAAACATACCAATCGTACCCAACGGTTAGGTACGCCATTTGCAAGGGAGTTAGTTCGTCGTGGATCCAGTGGTCGGCCCAAAGAGACAACCGGAGAAGACATGTGAACAAGGCTGTACGATCCCAACCTGAGATGCAGTGAACTAGGGCGTTATGGCTACCTAAAAAATGAGAAATATAAGGTATTTTCTACGGAAAAGATTTAATTAGGTATTTGAATTTCAAATGAATTTGAAGATCCCGTATTATTTGGCGAGAGTTAGCCAAAGAACGACACAGAGGAGCTAACACAAACAGCAGCGGCTATTGATGTATTTGTGAGCATAAAGTTGACATTTTTTTAGTTTAGGTTATTTAATTACGGCAAAGCCTCGAGGGCTATCTTCATAAGGTGAGGGATGCCTTCGTAGACGACTTTCCAAGGGAAACTGGCTTGTATACACGTTGCACATGGGGAAAACCACGAAAACACCCATGCAGCCAGCCCTTTCGTGGGATTCGAACATCGGACCGAACTACCAGTGTTCAACGACTTTACCGCTCGGCCGGCATATTTCACAAGTGCACATCTGTGTAGCCACCGAGGGAATGGCTTCTAGGATGAACCAATAAGCAATATTTCTGTCATGTCACATGACCTTTTGCGTGCTTTGAGATTTAAGCAAGATGGTTGAAAATACTCTGCCACGCAATTTTCTGTACAAAATAATTAAAGCATTGTCGATTGCTTCTGAAACATTTCATTGCGAAGTTAGATCAAATATAGGAAATCATGAAGATTTCACTACCTGGTTGAAATAAATACAAACACATGTTGGATACTTCGCAAAAATATCGATGTGAAATATTACTTAGTAAGTGGTAAATAAGATGAAGAAAGAAATCTATGATAAACATCTGAGCCCAAATGCAATTTCTACCTAAAACTATGCGTTGAGAAAAAATATTTACACCAATTATATGTAAATAAAAGTCTATATGAAAAAGATGTTCTATAATAAAATATCGATGTGAAATATTACTTAATAAGTGGTAAATAAGATGAAGAAAGAAATATATGATAAACATCTGAACCCAAATGCAATCTTTACATAAAACTGTATGAGAAAAAATACTTACACCAATTACGTAAATAGAAGTCAGGACTTTATGGCAGTCTATATGAAAGAGATGTTCTATAATAACCAATGCAGAATTTTATTCAAAATGAACTTTACTAATTTGTATTCGTATACATTTAGTGCGTTAAATTTCACATTTAATAAGTGCTCACTCTTAAACGTATTGTCTATACAAGAAATACTCAAACAGTGAATTAATCATATTCACAATGAGTATATTCAATTTATTCACATAGTTTTTAATGTCAACAACGGATATAATCAGATCATATGTATTCTGAATCTTGCACTTTAAAAATAAAAGGAATGCAAGCACTGAAATAAGAAAACACTAGCTTCATTTTAAGACTCAGTCATTCTCAGCTCAATTAAATTAAAATACGCTTGAATTCTCTTAATCCACATAATATGCCGTGGACATCAATCTTAATATTAATGCGTGATAAAAAATCACGAAAGTGAAATGTCAGCGATTAATCAAACTCAGAAAACGAAAGCACTACGAGATTTTCTACTATTACGCCATATATTTACAACTGCGAAACAAATGCAAATTAAAATGTAAACATACGCTCACATGCACGAAGATTTAACGTCACAAGAGCAATAGCAGCTCATTGGTCCATTTTCGAAACCCCTCCCTCAGTGGCTACACCGAGGCGCTCGGCCGCTGGTGAGCTAGACATTTTTGTAAGCTTTTACGGCCGTTTCCGAAGATTTAATTACCATATGATTTGAACTACATTTTATCCTGCTCTACCTGTTGTAAAGCATTTCTCCATGCCTTCATCAACATTCCAGGTTCATTTCATCAATTCACTTGATACAGTGTTTGTGCATCTTGAACTATTCACCATTTGTCTGGCGCATAATACTCGAGATTTTGTGCCATTAAAAAATCTACCAACCGAAGATTTAATAACTAGATTTCTTAAGATCGCTCACATCATTTCGGAGATCTAACGGTGAAATATTAGTTTGCATTGATATTTCAAGAAAACATTTCGACCAAGAATTTGCCCTTACGGAACTTTCGCCAGTGTGATAAACACCAGTGTAAACAAAATGGATGAACATAAGCGTACTACATTTGAGGTTTTAAACTAACATATGGAAGTAAAGGCCTACGGGTCAAAGATTTCTGAACAAAGTTTAGATCCAAGACCGTAGTTTTTACCAGCCAAGTGTGGAGTGGGATTTTAGTGCCAATATACAAGAGAATTTCGCAATTTTATGTATTGAACATCCCACATTCATTACGGATTTACGACCAATAGATGTCGCTCGTATTTGGGGAAAAAAAGAATTGCTTATCTGGCAGCTGCCGAAATATTAAAATAATCAACTAAGATATCTTCCGTTTGAATAAGATACATTAAATATTATTCTAATCTGGAATGATTTCAAAATTCAACTTTGGAATTCTCGGCTATTGGCTTCAAAAAATGTCCACGTGAGATCTTTCCAACGTTTCTTCCACACAGGAGCCTACAACTGAGTGCACGTATTTCTGGTAAGTTAGGATACAGTTTACAGCTATGCAGTTTGTCTAGGTTTAGCCAATTCCAACAAGGGATGCTTGGAGACACGAAATAGGGAGCCTACTTTAACCAAATGACTTCCATACGTTTCGAGCAGATTGAAGGATGTATGTGGAAGAAATTTCAATAAAGTTTCTTCCCCACATATACTTCAATCAAAGTTAAGATCATCCATATAGCAACATTTATATATTATTTAAATCCAAGTCATTGTGCCCCATATAGCAACATTCATACCGTCTGCGGCATCTCCGGAAAATTAAGAGTTTTAGTCGATATCCAGTGGGTCCTTAACCGTGGTTGTACAAACATTTACGATGGTTGAAACATTACGTGCGAACTATGTTATAACGTAAGAGTTTTCTGATGGATAAGACTCTTAATAAGATAATACGCAGTCGGAAAGCTAGAGAAAAAATTATGAATAAAGAATAATTAGAGCTGGTTTCGCTACAAATACTCGTACTTACCAGAATGCAACTTCATAGAACAAACCGGAGGTATCAAAACACGCTGTGGACAGAGGATCTTACCGACATGCAACACAAGAAGCATGGTGTTCATTACTTACAAAATATTCCTGCATATTTGTGGAGTCTCCGTATTTCCGCAATTCTACGCTATTATGAGATGTTATACTTCAGTGTTGCAGTAGGTTTGTTTCTCCCAAGCCTGTGATGTCTTGAGGTCCTTCGTCACCCCTTATTGCCTCTCACCCTGGAGAATCATGCTTAAGGAAACATCACCCCAGGGCATAACTTATCTGGACAGCATCGTACCAAATTTACGATATTCTAGCATAACAGAGGATCTTGGAACGATTGTTTCTGCGTGACCAAAGCAGGTCATACACCTTGAAAATTTTATTTATTAGTGAAATTAGGATGTGTGTGTGATTATTGCAAAGCCTCGAGGGCTATCTGCCTAAAGGGAGGGATGCCTTTCGTGGAGGACTTTCTAAGGGAAACTGGCTCGTATACACGTTACACATGGGGAAAACCACGAAAACGGCCATGCAGCCAGCCCGTTCGCGGGAGTGGAACCTCGGACCGAACTACCAGTGTTCAGCGACTTTACCGCTCGGCCGCTGGTGGGCAGTGAAATTAGGATTTGCATCAGACCAGAATACAGTTCGCTAGACGAACTCTTAAATGCAAAATTTTACTATATACGTTATGTTACATTTATGTGCTGTTAAAATTGAGTTTGCATGCTATATAATCGCTTACGAAGATTCATCTGTCAAGATTAACAATTGTCACTGCTCAGAACAGATTCTCAGTACTCCTAATGCATAGTTGCCTCCACCTAGTAGATATTTCAAGTACCTAACGAATAATGGATTACCTAAACGGAAACTGACATATGGAAGTAAGACTTGCGAACAAAGTTTATATCCAAGACGATAGTTTCTAACAGCTAATTGTGGACTGGGATTTTAGTACCAATATACAAGAGAATTTCGCAATTGAATATCTTCATATTCATTGCAGATTTACGACCAATAGATGTAGCTCGTATTTGGGTAAAAGAACTGCTCATCTGGCAGAGGCCGAAAGATTAAAGGAATCAACTAAGAGACGTCTTTACATTAAATATTATTCTAATCTGGAATGATTCGAACTTCCCACTCGGCACAAAAACACATAGCTTACTAACATTTTGGATTAAGAATCCGATTGGATGCTCAGCTGATTAAAGTAAAAATGCATTTATGCAATAGAGCTAGAGGTTAAAGTGAAGTGCTAGAAGATTAAAAGATAATTGGAAGAATTCAACAGGCATGTATGAAAGCTACATTGTGTTTCTATATTCGTTCAACAACCGCCGGATTTTGAATTTTTGAAGAAATCTCCAACCTTTTGTTTTTAAGAGTAGGAAAAGCAGTTCCTGAAGGCTTCTTTTAACTGCGATTAATTTTTGTTGCGAAACCTAATTTTAGGACATGCTGTTCGCTAGTGCAGCCGTCTATTGGGAAATTTTTAACTATTGTCCCAATACTTCCTATCAACTAAAGTGGACGCATTAAACATTTTTAAAATAATTTCTTTGAAATCAAGCCCTTCTACGCTCTGCGGTGAAACTACGAAAGTTTTAGTTTAAAATTCCATAACAAGGTGCCTTTCTTGCAGAGGGTTTCGGGCACTATAGAGCACAGTCAGAAGGAAATTTAAAATTTCTCATAAGAGAGAACATATGAAACTGTATAGGCTTCTTTGCAAGTGCGTCTTAATTACACGAAGTATTTCTGTACATTTCAGGCTAGATACTTTTATCGAGAGTAAATAGTGGTATTATGACAAAATTAAGGCGGAGTTCTACGAATCACTTTAAATGTGGTTACCTGTGTTACACACATTTAACTACAGATTGATTGTAATTATGTTAACGTTACGAGTTTCACCATGAAACCTCTGGTCCGACAAAATACGATGATAATTGTTTGCTCTTCCAATACACATCCAACCCAACAACGTATCCATGAGGAGCTGGCAGAAGGTTGTATGCAACGAATTGGAAGGCCATACTTCTATGCGGAATTTTACGTCCATAATCCTTGGAGAATTCATTTTGGTGCAATAAAAATTAAAAGGCCATACTTAAATTTAAAATTCAGATCCATAAAAAAAATTGCGAGTTTATGATATGTCAAACATTAAAAATAATTATAAAGTGCAGCGAGTTTTATTACATCGAAATAGATATTAGTATGCAATAAATGTTTAATGCGTCCACTTTAGTTGATAGGAAATATTGGGACAATAGTTAAAAATTTCCCAATAGACGTCTGCACTTGCGAACAGCATGTCCTAAAATTAGGTTTCACAATAGCACATGCTAATTTAAAAATTAAGATTCAAGTAATGCATAAAAAAATTTGAAAGTGAAATTAACATTTAAACAATTTCAAGATTTAATTAATTTTTAAACATATGTTTAATATATATCATGTATTCTGTGCATAAAATTTATATGAGCAAGCTGTGTGAAAGATCGAATTCCAGCTGCACTTAACGATCAATTGCAATACATACTACGGTGACAGAGGACCGGGCCAAAATGCCTGCAAATGGTTGGGAAGTTTGGCGATTTATAGCGTTTCGTCGCCAAAGGAATTGGCGATATTTCGACAAATTACCGCGATAACCCATTTAGCGTATTCGTACTTTTCCGGCATAGCTTGTTTTTTTAGAAATTTTTTAAGTTGCATTACTCAAAAATAGAACAATCACATAATTGCACTAAATTCATTTATGTACAAAAATAGTAAATCAACAATAACAATTTAATTTAAAAATATTGATTCTGAATTCGGGATATGCAATTTCATTTCAACACACAATGCTTTAGCTTATTTGATTGTGGCAAAGCACTATAGGCTATCTGTCTAAGGGAAAGAACACCTTCGTGGAAGATTTGAGGGAAACTTGCTCGTATCGAAATGTTAAGAATGACTTACCTGATGTAATGACTACTAGCTGAAGAAAGAGGTATTCTTGGGTTATCTTAACGAGATCCCAGTCCTAGAAAAAGGAATGTTTATCGAGCATTTAAAATTTCACAGACCGTATCAAAGTTGCATTCATAGACAGCACTTCGAGTTACATTTTATATTCTAGGATACATTTAAGTTTTAAATGAAGCAAATTATAAATATGCTTGACGGAAGCACTGAAGCATAGACAGATTTTGCAAGTTAAAGAATATTATTCTGAATAAAATTGTAAAGCGGACAAAATTTCAGATTAGGCGCTTTCTTAGTTGTGATAAAGGTGCAAGGGGCTGTTTATGGTTCCTGCATAACCCTGAGCCGCAGTCGGCGATGTGAACGCATTATAAGTGAACTGTAAATTCCCTTTTAGTCGATGCAGATTACCACACTGTTTCAGACTGTAGCATACTGTCAATGACGTTTATGTATCGTAAAATGTATGTAATTTTTACTTTAGCTCTCATTACCTTGAATACAGCTTTATATTACCTTTGGCTAGATTGCGTTTTTTTTTTTTTTGGTTGCTGCATTGAAGCCAGAGTTAACTCGGGTGTAACACCATGAACCATAATAAATCTTTTTCGTCGAAACTTTTTTGCGCCTTAAAGCTACATCCAGTGACCTATATCTGTAGATAATAAAAACATTCAGGGATTTTCGGCATAATTTTTAATTTAAATTCGGTCATTAAGCGGTTAAACATGTTTAGACACTTTAATCGTTCGGGACTGTTCTGGGGGCCGGATTTGGCTAAAAATTCTAAGCCAATAATCGCTAAAATATTTAAGATATCCTTTAATTTCAAGAGTAAAAATATATTAGACAAATTACAAATGTTTTAATGTAAATTAAAGAAATTGCCAAAAAAAAAATCGGTTAGGGAATTCAGATTAACACCGAGGCGTGAAACTGCGGATGCCATTTAAAACGCCTGAAAGCGTGTTTTAGCCGCCCCATAAACTCGAATAAAAAACCAATTGGTTACGGTCAGCGCAGCGTTGACGCTTGTTTCGCACTGCCCCATAACCTTTCAAGTTAGTGTGCGACAACCAGTGTCGGGATCGCTAAAGCTATTTCTAGGGTTAAGGCAGAAATGGTCAGATCAAAATTCTTTCAGTTTAGTATTATGCCCATTCCAACAGTTGGAGTACATTGTAGTACCATCAATAATATTTTCAATAACTTTGAAAGAACTTTAAGCAAAGTTCTGGCAGAACAGTTGGGTACAGCAACTAAAAAACATTTTGCTGCTCAGCAAATACTTCCGCACATCCACTGGGGCGGAAGGATATGACCGACGTTGTTTTTTCGAGGGGAAACAAGCTTTCGTCAACTCCGAGAATATTACCAGTACCGCCTATTCCAACAGACGGTCTAGACATTGATGCATCGCCACAGACTTCCCTTATATAACTGTCCAGGTAACAGCAATGCAATAATTTGCATTTAGTTGCTACTGACGAAATTCAAGAGAAGTTTGTTCTAAACACCATGTATAAACATAACGAACTGCCGCTAAGATATGGATTACAGATCATTTAAACCAATTCTTGAGAACGAATCCTTTTCCTTGGCACATGGTGTCCTCACACCTCCATTTTGGTGCTCCCTCTGAACTGAAGTACAGCTACATTGTACGGTTTTTTTCGTGCACTTATTCCTCGTTCCTGAAGAAATTTTATGAAAGATGTTTCATCATTAGGTCAATCCATAATTCTTATATCCATTGTCAATTGAACGGCATTAGTAACAATTATATCTTTAGAACTTGTATTCTCGTTGCCAAATTTGAAAAGGCAGTAAAAAGTAAAAGTTTTAGTAAAAAAAGGCGAAAATTGATCTGTTTTATAACAACTTTAAAATTAACTTTTTAAAACTACAATTTAAAACTTATTAAACTTCGTATAAGCCAATCTCGATATGAGTTAAGCAAAATGTTTGGCGACGATTCCGGTTCAGATAATAGAACAGAACCAATTTCCCTATTTAGATTTGCATTTTTATCCAAAGAATCTAGCGCTGTTCTCAGAATTAAGGAAAGGAGTTTGTACAAAATGTGAAATTTTAGTTAAAATAACAATGGTGATGCACATTTTTGAAGCATTTATTTTTCACTTAATACAAGCGTTCGAAACCAATTGCTCTTATTTTACTCTAATTGGCAATTGCCATTTCTTTAATGTACGAAACGGAGGTACACTCCGTAAAAGGGCATATGGTCACAAATTCAATCTGGTTGCGGATACGTTCAACATTATTTAAGTGTTCAGCCCCAAGGTATTGTACGGGTAAAATCACGAAAGCGCTCATGTAGCCAGCCCATTTGCGGGATTCGAATTTCGGACCGAACTACCAGTGTTCAGGGACTTTACCGCTCGGCCGCTGGTGGGCTAACGTTCAGCATGTAGCCAAGATTTCAACTCTGAGTTGCGCATAACGTTTTAAAAAATTATAAATTAATTCATTCCCGTTTTTATTGCCATCATGGAAATCTTGGTACGTATGGTATACTTAATTGCGGCAAAGCACTTAAGTACTATCCGTCCGATTGAAGGAATGCCTTCAGGGAGAAATTTCTAAGGGAAACTGGCTCGTATACTTGTTACACATGGAGAAAACCACGAAAACGCCCATGCTTCCAGCCCGTTTACCGGTATTCGAAAGCCGAATCGAACTACCAGTGTTTAACGACTTTATTGCTCAGGGCCAAAGAGATTCAGAACTAAATAAAATTAGACTAAATTAAGACTAAATGGTATTATAAAGAAATTTATAAAGAAAGACGGTTTAGAAATGTAGGTATAATGGTAGACTAAATTAAAAGATCATGTTTGTAATTTGAAAAATCAAATCAAACTTATTTCTAAGAAACGATTTTTTGCATTAGAAATTCTTACCTTATACTGGCTATAGTCAGTCTCCCGAAGATACTTAATGAAGCTTGCAGGTACTTTACATTCTTCAGTTACGCTAGGCTGTAAACAAAAAAGCCAGATATAAATAAGTGATCTGAAACTAAATTTTAGATTTTCCTCTCGATCGAGGGAGGTCGACATTTTTCTGAATCATTTTCGAAAATGTCCAAAAGATCTCGAATGGAAGGTTGCATCTATCATTTCATTGATGAAACGTTTATACAAAAAACTGAAATTCAGTTTCAAATGAAAACTGAAACAAAATTAGCACAGCAATGAAACAAAATTAGCACAGCAATGAAACAAAATTAGCACAGCAATGAAACAAAATTAGCACAGCAATGAAACAAAATTAGCACAGCAATGAAACAAAATTAGCACAGCAATGAAACAAAATTAGCACAGCAATGAAACAAAATTAGCACAGCAATGAAACAAAATTAGCACAGCAATGAAACAAAATTAGCACAGCAATGAAACAAAATTAGCACAGCAATGAAACAAAATTAGCACAGCAATGAAACAAAATTAGCACAGCAATGAAACAAAATTAGCACAGCAATGAAACAAAATTAGCACAGCAATGAAACAAAATTAGCACAGCAATGAAACAAAATTAGCACAGCAATGAAACAAAATTAGCACAGCAATGAAACAAAATTAGCACAGCAATGAAACAAAATTAGCACAGCAATAACCTGAGGTTTGGCATAAATTTAGAGATATCAGCCAAAATAAAAGTGCAATAAAGTCTATCAAAGAACACGAATCTCATGTCCGAAAATATGAAATTAACCAGTCTGATAATAGTTAAAAATTACATTTTGACTTATGCAAAAATTTTTGAAAAAGGCTTCTTCAGTTTGTGAATTAGATTTTTTGAAGCTATCGCATTCACGAAGATTTATCTGGCTTAGTTAATGACTAGTTCCAATCCAGTTCTCCCCATCTCTTAAAAATACATTTACTTAATTTTTCAACTTACCATTTTCCCGAATAGATGGCGCTACGTTTTTGTTCGCTTTACTGCCGTAGGTTAAAAATAAGACTTGTGCCCTCTCCGACAACTTTAGGTATGAACTTCTTGAAAGTGATAAATTTACATCCAGATACTATCTACTATTGCAGAAATCGCACCTCACACATATGTTTATAATAGTCACATCTGATTGGCTCACAGTACTCTGACATTTTTACTTAGTTATCACGAATTACTTCACCGTTCATGTCGGACTTTAATTTTTTACCATCATCAACTGAGTACTTCAAAGTACTTCGTTTTTTCGCTTCTTACCGAAACGTTCAATGCTTGTGATAAACCCACGAACCGTCAACGCCTTAGGGCAAAAAAATCCATGTTAGCCGGTAAAAGCTGAATAAGCTAAACGCCCGTCTGCACCATCACGATCTACCGTTCATGCTATCTCACAGCACATTGGCCAGGACAGTCCTTATCCCTGCAATCCCCTGCTGAAGGTTTTTTCCTACAATTTCAGGGGCCGGTAATAGCAGAAGAAAGTTCCTGCTGAAACAGGCCTGTTAAAAATTATCAAAACTTGCTTTACAATTTTGCAAATTTTTTTGTTTCTGATGAAAAGATACCTATTTGCCCTCGAAATCGATTGATTTAATTGTTCTTGTGTTCAGTATTAAATATACTGAACACAAGGTTGTTCCTGTGGTAATTTTATAGATTCAGATGCTCTTGCAATAAATTTAAAACTTTAAACTACCTGACTGGCTAAGAACAAAGTGTATAACCCTATAGATGTAGTTGAAAACGCATGAACAATTTGATTGCCATCTCGCTATTTACAACTTATTTGTCTTAAATTTGTAACGTCAGATGTCCGAGCCAACCCAGAAAAGTCATCCATAATATATTTTTTCTGAATATTTCTTTTCGTGCATATCAGGACTGGACCTCTAAAGAAAACTAGATCGGATAGGGATAGAAAACGAAAAGTAGACAACGCGTGGCAGTATTTGAACCTTGTTTGAACCACATTCAGCAGTCGTACCCACCTAGCCATATATGGGTCTGATTGTTTAGCAATCTTTGTGTGAATCTGAACAATAAATACTAATCCATGAAGGTTGTACTACTTCGGCTACACGGAAAAGTGTAGTGTATACGGATAAGATACATGGTGCGTGTACAGGGACAAGATTATTTACCATGAAATTAAAGAGATTTACCGTTTACTGCAACATTCTAGCTGATAACGTGCTTTTTTAACGCAAAAAATAAAATCCAAACTTAAGGGGACGCATTATATGTCGGATATGAAAAATGGATTTAAAAAATTACATTTCTACCTGTGCCTAAATCTCGTTTATTTAAAAGAAATGTCATTATTGGATAACAGGAAAAGTTCGATTCGTTTTCCGTTGTATCTTCAGACATACTACCGAAATCTACTTTATTTTTACCATCACCGTTATTCTGAACTGTAAATAATCATCTTTTCCATTTACACTGTTAGATACATTACATCCTTTAAATGACTTATATTATGTCGGGATTAATTTAATTCTATGCTTTTCTTATCCACTCGCAGACTTTCTAGACCGATAGGACGCATTTGCAAAAAGGTGCGCATTACACGGTGAATACACTTAAAAATTAAAACATTAGCTCTAAATTATACGGGCGCGTTATACGCATACCCGGAATATACGGTAATTTGAATCAAGGTGCGTTTCGAAAACCACAGCTTGTTTTAAAAGTCCAAAACCAGTAAGATTTTGCCTAGTTGTAGAAAATTCGATATTTCAGCAATGTTTAGCATTTTTAGACTTAATAGCCTGCTTCTCTTACCTCCTACACACGTTAGTTACATACATAATAGCTTGACTGGAAAAAATTAGTGTGATCTAGTACAGGCTAAATATTCTATTAATTTAAGAATTCTTAATCCTACATCGAAAACAAATAATGAATCTCCTGTAATCATTTTAAGGATTATCCAGGTGTTGCTTAGAAATGCATTAAATATAGTGGTAACTAATAATGACCCCCTTCAAAAGTTCAACAAACACTTGCTGGAATGTCTGTAGGGCCAGAGTGAAGGAAGTTAAAGATCTATTCTTATTGCTAGTTTGTTAGACAAAATGCTACCGAAAATTTTACAAACAAAACGTAACATCACCTGAACTTAGAAAATAGTTGTAAAAATAATGAACTGTACAATTTTGACACTTTTCGCGCGAGTCCAAAGGTGGGTTGTTAACCCACAAGCACAAGACCGCTCTACTTAACCCTTTGCGACACCTAAAAATTTTCTTCTGTACGTACAGAAAAATTGAATTGAAAAGGATTTAGATTACTCTGAACCTTGTTCATTTATGGTAGATGGCAGCTCAACACAAACCAGTCCATATAGTTTAGCCATGTTTAGTTTTTTTAAGACCCTCATTTTTCAAAGAAATCTTCCAGATTTTTGTAGGGTATAAAAGGAATTGTTTGAAAAGAAATTTCCGTGTTATTTTTTGGTTGTATCCTAATCTCCTTATTCTATATTAGTTTTAAATTTTCACCTTGAAATCTTGCCTAAAATCAAACGGCGAATCCTAGCTGTGCCCAGACCGGGCTCACCGATAATCTAGGACAACTGAGAGTCTGTATTCTTTGTTTCTCCGCATCTCATCGGTCAGTTCATGGACAACAATGCTCGTTTCAGCTTCTTTTCTAAGTTCTATCCAATTAGTGTGCCACTTTGGTCACACCCACAGAATTATAACGATAAGTGCCATCTTCACAAAATTTTACTTGTGTACTCCTAGGCCTAATTAGACTGCCTATTTTTTTTTTTTTTTTTTTTTTTTTTCATCAAAATCTATACTTTAAAAGGTAGCCTGCGGGAAAGGGTTAAAAGTAATCTACGGTGAAAGCTTCCACAGAGAAATTTATTCATACTGAGTGGTTTGGTTTATTTGATAACAGCAAAGCACGCAGTAGGTATCGCGACAAAAAGGCGGAATGAGTTCGTGGAGAACTTTCAAAGGGAAACTTGTTCGCATCTATTTTAGAGAAAATCATGAAGATTCACATGCAGCTAGCTCATTTAGCTGGAAACAAACCCAGGTTGCCGAACTACCAGTGTTCATTGACTTACCCCCGCTCGGCCGCTGAAAGAGCCCTTATACTGTCGTTAGACGCTACGTAGACTTGAATGCAGCGTGCAGCCCCCTTTACTAAGATTTGAATCTAACTCATCAACTAATCAGTGGGCTAGCTCATAGGATCAGTTACGGGCGAAAGTAAGATTAGGAAAGTATGCAAAATTAAACCTTTAAATCAATGTGTTAATACATTTCCGAGTAGGTAAGCAAGCTGTTAAACACACAACTTTATTATTGACAGTTTAAGGTCATGCTGTACATTCGCGAAACTATTTGGATGACAGCGCGTTAACTAATTTCGGCAAAGCAGACAAGAATTTCCCGCTTAAAAGGTAATATAACTTAGAGGAGGAGCTTCTAAGGGAACTCATTCACGTTACATACGGCGATACTACAAGTATAAAAGCTAACGCAATTGTCTGCTTATGGGTTATATGTTCACCAATGCTAACACTCATTTAAAAGTTTTATTACACATCTTTGAATTGAAAGAACTGAAGATTTGGCATCTTTGAATTTCGATTTTACTAGACCATTTTTTAATTTGAGAGTGTTTAAGAGTTAAAATATGAGAGAAATCAGACTTTTAAATCATTCTTTACTTAGACTGTTGTAATAAGGGGCTTAATTTTAAATAAACGCAAATTTAAAATCTATACTGCTGAGGATAACCACGGAAGAAATCGCTGAAATCAAAGACTTACGTCCTCCCAATCAAATTTCAGACCTTCAGGATTTCTGCCGTTTCGATGATATTCTTCGAAGAATTCGCAACCTGGAAAAGAATTCAAATTATTAGAGCTGAACTCTCGAGTAGTTTTAACTAGGTAAAATTCGAAAAACGTCCTTAAAACCAAGCTTAAAATTGAGTTACTTATAGGAAATTTACTAAAGGAAGAAAAACGTGCCATGCTTTCAGATTATTGCAACATTAAACAGTAATTTATATTATCCTCTGAACGACAAAATACTTACTTTTATTTGAAACACAGGTTCTAGAAAATCTAAAGCAAAAGTAATTTTAGCATTTAGCTTAGTGCAAAATTTCAGAGAGATTAGAACAAAAGTTATTTGCTTCTTAGAGTTCATCTACAAAAATATGCTTTAAGCTTAATTCTTGCAAGTTCCGAAAACCGGGTAAAATGGACTTGCGCAAGTTATAACAGTTACGTACTAGACGCATTATACATGGGCTTAGAGAAGTTCGTATATGAAACGTGAACCAAATTAGATATTTAATGAAAATATTTTGAAATATATAGGGTTACCGAGAAAGAATCTCCCAAATACAATATTTTCAACTTCAAACAAAATTATAAATAGGTCATTGTGAAGAAAATGTTAATTTTTTCAGATATTCAATTAGACTTCATTTAATGATCCTCATAATATTAAAGCAATTTGCCAAATACGTTGTGAGTCATGTGATTTTTCCTTGGAAATTCATTTAAGGAACTCATTTTTGGTCACGCCCTTTGGAAACTCAAAAGAGCTAGAAATTGATGGTTGGCAGAGTTGGAAAGAGTTATTTTATAGGACTCGGACGAAGGACACTGGCATCTTTTTATGTTAAGGCTCACTTCGTTTTACTGCACGAACTCTAGTATTTATCTGACGAAATGGTATTCTTATGTTACGCTGTACAATATTTTGTTAGTCTAGGATAGGACTTCGGCCCAGGTACCTATGACAGCATACATAGTTACAGCCACCGAGGTTTCGGTAATGCATCGAGTGATGATGCATCGAGTTTTAAAGAACTGGCTAACATTAGCTTTGACACAGGTTCGCAGTGCTGCCCATGCCATTTTAAGGCGTCATAGATGGTAAGTATAAACAAACTTTAGTTTCAAAAATGCCAAGTTAATTTAGAATGACTACTGGATTTTAGTGAAATTCCGTTGTGCAGTACTTACTAGATACCTTCCAATATTTAGCCATAATAAGACTGTTAGAAAGCTAAAAAATGCGGTTTGTTTAAATCTGATGTAGATTTGCTTTTCCAAATAAGTTTTGAACCCGAAACCATCGAGGATGATGAGCTTAATTTCAATATATGGCGGTACCCGTGATGAGTTCACTTTCGTCAAAGTTGGAGTTTTTTTAATAGCAGCACTGTTAAGGTAACCGATCTCGTTCAAAAGGTCGATTTCGGTTAAAATCTTTTACTAGCCGAAGGGGTCAATTTGCTCAGAAAGGCAATTAGTTTCGTTTCGCCATTTTGCGTCGTCCACTATAAAACGCGTTTAACTTTCCAAATCGTTGCCACCATACAGTAAAGTTCTGCATTATATTTAAAGAACCTACATGAATGTCGGGATGCTTCTCTCATTGTGAAAAACATACCTAGAGAAAACTTTGAATAACAGTCCTCTACTGGAATATGGGCGCATGAAAGCCCTAATTCGGAATTTGTTTTATTACTTTATTAGCCCATTTAATATTTTATAAAACTTTTTAATTTAATATTTTATAAAAATATTCGTTAAACTGAACTATTTCAAAGCGAATAATGGGAACACTGTACGGATAAAAATATTAACAGCGCGCTAGACTGCATCGGAAAATCTAGAGATATGCTCTTTAAAGTATTATGATATTGCTGTCGAATTTTACGGTTTAAGAGCGAAAGGACACATTTAGTAAATAATAAAGGTAACAAAACGTTAAAAAACGCCCCTTTGGAGTAACAAAATCTGAAATATTTCAGATTTTAAATATTTTCAAAGGAGACATTGTTAGCCATCAAAAACAACTTTACTTCTTTGATTATGTTGATTAAAAGTGGAGATATACCAGTTTTTCCGACAGATGAGAAACCGGAAGTTAGTCTTCCGCAGCGGAAGTCAAATATTAAAGGGCGAATGAAATATGTAGTTTTAAACCTTTGTTATTTCTAAAATAATTTTAAGTATTTGAATGTGTATGGAGAATCTGGCAACGTATTTTTATTATGCATTTTCTCATTTCCGTTTGACAACGTGAATAGTTGTGTATGACATGCAACATTAATCTGAAGAGTATGTGCAATTTTTGATTAACAAGTTTGGTTTACGATGTTCACAGCAACTATGCCAATTCCAAAAGTACTTTATAGATTGCACACAGTTTGTACATCATTATAGATTTATAGTAAACTTTAAAAATTACTTTCACAGCAATTGAAATACATCATTAATTTGAGTTCATCAATATTTGATCATATACTAATACTGAATCAATATTTTTCAATTATCCTACTTCACTGTATGCTTTTGCTAAATATATGCAATAACAAAAATGGTTTTTATCAATATTTCCTCGTCAACGACGGTTGATTTCGTTAAAAGATAGAAAATTTTTGTAAAAATTTCTCGAATTAGATTTATCACTTTTGTGGTGATTATATTCAAGTGCGAGTGCAATGCAATAAAAATTCTCATAAAGTCAGAAATATAGCAAAGATTTTGAATAGAGCCTTTCGAACCAGGTCGGTTACCTTAAGAAAATTTACAAAAAACGGACCTATATTGAGATCTACAATTGAATAGCAAAAATTTGAATCGTTAGATATACGGCATTTGCCCCGAAGCATTAGCTATGAGAGACCAGTGGCCATGGTAACTATATAGTAGGAAATCGACCTAGTGGTACATATCACATAGTGCCACCTAACTCTATATACAGTACCTAGTGGTACATATCACATAGTGCCACCTAACTCTATATACAGTACCTAGTGGTACATATCACATAGTGCCACCTAACTCTATATACAGTACCTAGTGGTACATATCACATAGTGCCACCTAACTATATATACAGTACCTAGTGGTACATATCACATAGTGCCACCTAACTCTATATACAGTACCTAGTGGTACATATCACATAGTGCCACCTAACTCTATATACAGTACCTAGTGGTACATATCACATAGTGCCACCTAACTCTATATAGTACCAGTGGTACATACTAGTGCCCACCTTATACATACCTATCATAGTGCCACCTAACTCTCTATACAGTACCTAGTGGTACATATCACTAGTGCCACCTAACCTATATACAGTACCTAGTGGTACATATCACATAGTGCCACCTAACTCTATATACAGTACCTAGTGGTACATATCACATAGTGCCACCTAACTCTATATACAGTACCTAGTGGTACATATCACATAGTGCCACCTAACTCTATATACAGTACCTAGTGGTACATATCACATAGTGCCACCTAACTCTATATACAGTACCTAGTGGTACATATCACATAGTGCCACCTAACTCTATATACACCTATATACTCTATATACCGTACCTAGTGGTACATATCACATAGTGCCACCTAACTCTATATACAGTACCTAGTGGTACATATCCAAGTGCCACCTAACTCTATATACAGTACCTAGTGGTACATATCACATAGTGCCACCTAACTCTATATACAGTACCTAGTGGTACATATCACATAGTGCCACCTAACTCTATATACAGTACCTAGTGGTACATATCACATAGTGCCACCTAACTCTATATACAGTACCTAGTGGTACATATCACATAGTGCCACCTAACTCTATATACAGTACCTAGTGGTACATATCACATAGTGCCACCTAACTCTATATACAGTACCTAGTGGTACATATCACATAGTGCCACCTAACTCTATACAGTACCTAGTGGTACATATCACATAGCGCCACCTAACTCTATATACAGTACCTAGTGGTACATATCACATAGCGCCACCTAACTCTATATACAGTACCTAGTGGTTACATATCACATAGTGCCACCTAACTATATAATACAGTACCTAGTGGTACATATCACATAGTGCCACCTAACTCTATATACAGTACCTAGTGGTACATATCACATAGTGCCACCTAACTCTATATACAGTACCTAGTGGTACATATCACATAGTGCCACCTAACTCTATATACAGTACCTAGTGGTACATATCACATAGTGCCACCTAACTCTATATACAGTACCTAGTGGTACATATCACATAGTGCCACCTAACTCTATATACAGTACCTAGTGGTACATATCACATAGTGCCACTAATATACAGTAACCTAGTGGTATATGTGCCACCTAACTACATATATAGTACACAGTGGTACATATTACATAGTGCCACCTAACTCTATATACGTACTAGTGGTACATATCACATAGTGCCAGTACCTAGTGTATACGTACTAGTGGTATCACATAGTGCCACCTAACTCTATATACAGTACCTAGTGGTATCACATAGTGCCACCTAACTCTATACAGTACCTAGTGGTACATATACATAGTGCCTACTATATACAGTACCTAGTGGTACAGTACATATACATAGTTACATAGTGCCACCTAACTACATATATAGTACATAGTGGTACATATTACATAGCGGTTAGCGACGCTGACTGCTATACATTTATGTTTGTAAATGCATGTCTGCGGCTTGGGGCTCTCTAAAGATGCGGCGAGCCGAAGGTTCTTTCCAGAGGCTGATGGTAGGGAAACAGGTGGGAAATCTGACTCGCCCCCCTCCAGGGTGTTGTGATCAAAATTGGGGCCTAAGTGAGCCATTTCGTGCCGTCACTTTGGAATGGTGATTGGTGCTCAAGGCACTTGCCAGCGACAAGTGCAATCTTGCACTCCTTTGCAGGATGAATTTTGTTGGCTTGTTCCAATGTTACTCTCAGACAAGTGAGATAAGTCACGACTTATATTAACACAATTTATTTTATAGCACCTTCTTTCCTTTCAAAAAGAAAACACCGAGATTTCAGACTGGTGACTTAAATTCGACAGTAATCTGCCTTATAAAAATATGCTTCCGTGGTGCACATTCCAAGCGAAATTACCTTATATTCACCAGACGCATGGAACTCAAAAATCTTAATGCAGACATCTGAACGCCTCGTGCTTTCAACAGTTAAGAGACACGAACTACCAACACATCTTCAGCACTTAATGCTGATGAGGAATAAACCAGAAAGCACTATCGGTAGCCAAGACTGGTTTGGTTTAATATACCATGGTAAAGCACACTTAGTGGAGGATTTTCCAAGGGAAACCGGTCGTATACACATTGGTAGTCAAGCATTCCCGTCCCGATAAAATAACGTTAAGTTGTTAAACGTAATACCACAGCGTTTTAAAGAGATAAGCAAAATTCTTGGATGAATGCCTGTATCTAATTTTAATTTATAGAAATCAGTCTTAAACTTCTCGCAGATACCTACGTAAATATGGATAACCATTTTCTAGACTAAATTCTTGAAAAGTAAATATTTTCATACAAATTTAGTTTCCGCCAAAGAAAATTAAATACCACAAAACTTACCCGGGTATGGAATTTGAGTTATAATGAAGCCTTCGTAAAATTCCATCTTTACTTTTTCGGAAGAAGAGACCCTGTAAAATCGAAACAGCATAAAGCAAATTTAACAAAATTGAACAATATGAATGCAAGATAAGGAGATTAGCATTACTTACTTGACGAAGCACACTTTTTCCTTTTCTACCATGAGGTCAAAAATAAAGTCAATATCCAAATATTGCAGGAGTTCTCTGTCGTGACAGTGCATTTCCTCCAAAGTCTCTGGAAACCTGCAGTTCAGTACAACATATCCTAAATATCATTATGGTCAATTTCAACAAGCTTTAATATATTGGATTAAATTCAAGCCAAAATATACAGGGTAGTCGCACATTTTTTTAAAGCAAAACCAAATCGTCTAAAAAAGAGGCTGCTCAGAAAAAAATTTTCTAGCTGCAGTTATATTTTTGAAAGTAAATTATCGTCTGCTATTTGACAATTTGTTTTCATGGAAAATAACACTTGAAAAAAAAGCAATGGACGGAAGGGCTATATTCGTGCTCTTTCCGAAGAAAGTTATTCCTATTTAGTTATTAAAAAATCCCCTGAAAGCCATGATTTTTAAGATCTACAGCAAAGATAGATAATATAGTCAAATTACAAAGGAAAAACAGTCACATTTGGCTTGAAGCAGGAAAATTCTTCACAATAGATATTCATGGAAAAACTGAATGTTTCGAATGTTGCAATGGTAACAACTTTAATGCTAAAAGAAAATCTTCGAAGTCAAAAAATCTTTAAAATGCTCAGCATCAACTGTCAATAAAGTGATTAATACCGATTTAGACATCGAAATATTTAATGTGTATAGTTCTTCTCCAAAGACATATCGCCGAAAGCAGAACGCGCTGCAGAACACTCCGAGAAACAATTATTCGGACAAAAATGTTGCCACAATAGATGGATATTACGTATATTTAAATGAGTTCGATAAAAATATGCCTTTATTACCACAGAGGAAAAATCTTGGAACGTGGTTCACAGAATCTAAAGGAAGTTTTCCGAAGGGATTATCGATTGTTACCTTTTTTACATGACTGCAAATGAAAGTTAAAGAAAGTGGAGAAAACTGTTGCTTGGTACATTATCAGCAACTCATGTTATCCTTAGTTTTCCAAATATCGAACACCTTTCTTTACCCAACCAGTAATCCATCACTAGCAAGGCAAAGCAAGCAGCTGCAGGTCAAAATCCACTACTAATTTCCTGGAAAACGGAAAAAATGAGAAAGGAATTGGTATCAACGCTATAACAATGCAATCACATCCCTGCTAAACCTCCTGAGGTATCGTTTACGGATTTTCGGGCTTTTGGACTTTTAAAAATCGGATTGTTCAGACTGATCTACAACCCTCCTAGGATTTTCTAAAGCTGTTCGAAAGGAATGGGATAAAATGCCTTTTCTAGAACTAAAAAAGGACTTGTCGCGGAAATTACGGTGCAGAAAGATAAGGGTTTTCAAAATGGAACAATGAAAAAGGTTTTTTAGGAAGTTTATTTGTGTAAATACATTGAAAATCTTATAAGAGATGTGTGAACAGCTTTAGTATAATCGACAAATAGGAAACAATGATTTAAAAATAAATTAGCTTTGAACACTCAGTACATGCGAAAAACGAACCTTTGTATCGTAAGGATCTTAAGTTTTACTAACGTTTATTTTATTTTAAATCTTTACTATCACTTCTTATTTTCTACTTCCGGCCAGAATTATAAGCGTTAATATATTTATGCAAAGTTTGTCTGGCGAACGCCAAGTATTTAAGTTGTGGCTTTTTGCCAAGCGAGGAAGAGGAAGCAGTTAGTCGAAGCAGGCCGCTTACCTTAGAAGTTTTACTCAGTTGCTGGTTGCCTTCCAGGCCAGAGGTTTAATCCTCTTGATAACTTTAAACGTATTGTAGTGTTCACAGTTTCTGTACTCTGTACTCTGTACTACATACGGCTTCCTGTTAATATAAGGCCAATCTTCCACGTTTATTATTTCAAAGTTAAGAGTTTAGTTTTATTTTTATATTTTTACGTTTAGACCACAAGTAGTGGGTCTTTGTATTCCGAAGTACGGAAGTTATTGTAAATAGAGAAAAATAAAGGGTTTTGTATACCCTTCTTGTGTATCCTGTCTACTTCCCACAGTTATTGAACATAGCTTTAGTAAGCTCTCTGTTCAGAGTCAGGTCCTTGCATGTTCCCAAAGAAAGTAAGACGGAACAATTGAACCTGATAGTATCAGCTAAAGCAACACCAAATTAAGTTTGCTATAAACTGCATCTGGGAGGCTAATCCAGCTTTGCTTAGTCAATTTCCACATTAAAAAGGGAAATATCGCCGCTGTAAAATGTTTATTAACTTTTGACTGCTATGGACTCGTATATGCGCCCAGGAAAACCCATCGTGTAGCCTGTGGGTGCATATGTGAGTCTGTCGCAAGCCATCGGCATGGAGTATGCACGCTCGACAAAGGGCTTGGCCGTTTACTGGAGTCTTATGTGCATGTTCTGAAATTATTTCCGTCTTAATATGTCTCCCCCCGTGGGTTGACTCAGGCAAACGCCTGGGAAGTACTGGTTAGGATCTGTACCTAGGCAGTCTCAAACACGGGGGTATAATAACAGACTTCACAGAAGGCCTGAGGGCTCTCGGGACAAAGTAAGGCTCGGCAGGGACCGTACGGCTACTGCCTTGTCTGCCCTTGCTCTGTGAGGTCGCCACATGGTAGATTGTTAAGATGCGCGGGGTTGGCACTTAATTCCGTATGGCCATTGAAGCCGGGGCCTCCTTGTAGCTTTGAGTTATCTTAATACGTCCTCTTCTAGAGTGTTGACTGAGGAGAATTCCTGGGAAGTACTGACTAGGATCTGTTTCTAGACGGTCTCAACCACGAGGGTATAGAATCGGTCTTCACAGAAAGCCTGAGGCTACTCGGGACAGTGCAAGGCTCGGCAGAGACCGTACTGGTACTGCGTTGTCTGCCCTCGCTCTGTGGGGTCGAAACATTGTAGATCGATACGTGGCGGGGCGGCACTTAATTCCGATTGGTAAAGAAGTTTTAGGACGGAAGCTGTCTCGTCACCAGTTGTCTCAATATGTCCAACACCAGGAAGAACCTTGTGCCTCGTTAGTTGCGCAGCAACGAAAAAAATGAAATGTTTGGTCAGCCATTATGCGACCGCACGCCACTAATTCCAAGTTCTTAGACTTAAAACAGTTAGCGGGGAAGGCGCTAAAGTAAAAAAATAATGTATTTCAATCACTTGAAGTCTGGCGAGCACTTAGAGCATGCCTTTCCTCGGTAACGCTTACGTGAAAAGATCTGAAAGCTTTCGAGATTTTATATTGCACGCAAAAGTTTTTAACGTTTTGGTTTTACCTTTACTTACTAGGTTTTTAGCAGTTAAAACAAAATAACAGCAAAACTGCACATCTTAAGAATTTCCGATACAAAGTCTCTCGCGCTGGAGATAAACAGGTTTCTTTCCGTAGAGTGTTGGCATTGCTCGCTTTAAAATCATAGTTTGTTAATTAAACCTTCGTTAAAGTATTACAAAATTTGAAGTACACAATAAAATTCGAGCTTCAAAGTACTCATGTTCGGTTGGAGGACTACGCTATTCAAAATTAGATGGCTCTCTGTACTGTTTCATAATGCGAGAAACATTCATGCAGATACTTCATTACTTAGTTTCTTACAATACACTACATGGCGATAATATTTAGTTTAAAAAGTGAGAGAATCTGAGAAATCTTACCATTATAAATGGTTTAATAGACCATGGAGAAATACGGTGAGATAGATAAATGGAGGGCGTCGGGTTGCCAGAAAGTAGCAAGGAAAGATAGGGTTGTCCGATTGGCAACAAAATTGGCGATGTGTCAGATTGCAACGAGAAAATTCTAGAATGCACTTTTATCTTTTTCACGAAGATGGTTTAAAGCTATATATACTCCAACTGTACGGGGAGAAAATAGAGTCTTCAGTTCAGGGATTAGCTCGAGAGCGGTCGAAAGAGTCTGGAGCTGTACTTTAGTGTTTTGCTGTGAAGCTGTTTTCACCATTATAGCCTGTACGGTGTTTTGTCGAGTGTTTCAGCATGCTTGTCGTTTTTCGACAAGCGTAAATGTGCCTTTCGAACTGTCCTGTGATACAGCTTATACTGGCGAACAAATTGAGTTTTGATTCTATGAATTGTTGCAGAACTACGAACTGGTAGAAAGCAACAATATTAATAAGTTGCTATTGCCAAATCATTCTATAAATAACATTCATCCGCTTTTTCACTAGTTTCGTTTTGCGGATATTTTACGAGTGAAAAAGCAAATGCGGATGCGGACTAGCCACCAGTTAAGTAAGAGTAGCAAGCTAAATAGTAGAAAACCATAAAACAGACCTCAACATATGAAGTTCGGAAACGCCATCGGCTGAACCGAAAGGCTTAAGTTTTCAATCTTCAGATTTTAGTTCATATAATTTATCTAGTATGTCATAATTTATCTAGGATTTCGCAAAACGGAGTAACAGCATTCGTGGTGCTAGTGATTCAATTTCTTGCAGTTGTGCTTTATAAACATACAAACGAAATTACTTACAAAAGTGTACTCGTGGATTCAGCAATATTCGATGCTACCTGCACGACCTGGGTTGCAGCGTTCCTGAAGAGAAAACATTAAATTATACAATTAGTAATCTAGTGTAAATGCTTAAAACTTGCTTATAAGGCTCGTAATAGTAGAAAAACTTTAAAGCAAAACAACTATTAACCCTCCGCACTCGAGCGATTCCGGGCCGATATGAAGAGTCCACTTTGTGTGCGCTAGGTGATAAGGTCGCATAGAGTATCTTTGTCTAGGCTAAATGATTTCGGATTGCAATACTACCATTTTTGGTGGTGAAATCCTGGTGCAATGAGTGGCCTTTGTTAGTGATTCCGGTTGCAGTCTCGAAGGCAACTCCAATAGGCAAAAAAGTCTTCATTAGGGTGAGGAGATAGGCACCTTCGTTGTACGAGGGAAGGAGTTTTCAACCTCCGGGAGTTCAGCGCAAGTAACGGCAGGGTGAATATAAAAGGTGGTTTCCTGAGAAGAGACGAGATTTCTTTTCTGCTAGAGCTATGGGCATGTTGGCCCGCTAGAACTATATTTCCTAGTGCATAATGCGATAGAGCATTTTTCCTGTTAAAATTCTCAAATTACGGGACTATATGTATCGAAGTCCCCATACTGTCAAGAATCGTAACTATTAAAGTTTTTACTTTATTAAAATTCATGTTGTTAGAACTTCAGTTTGAAGTTCATTTCAACTCTGTATTATAACCCGGGGTTTATGTAGCGATTTAGGCCACTACACCACAGCTGTAACAGTGCTTTGGAACTATATCAGTTTAAGATGAGCGATAAGATAATCCTATCTGAAGTACTTTCGCGTAACAGGCTCGGCTTGCCTTCTTAGCTAAATCTTAGCATTGAATTCTCTTGAAAGAAAACTAAATGAAAATTAAGCTTTAGAAAAATTAAAGCAAAAGCTGCATTAGCTCTTCTCTAATACAGCTCAAATCGCCAGAGAAAAAGAGGCCTCGAGTGGAGAGGGTTAACATTTGAAGTTCAGTTGGGTTCTTACTTCTAGAATACTTTTAGGATGTTAAGTTATGGTGTTTTGGAGAACCTTACTATCATTACAACCTAATTGCAGTTATTACCATGTTGATTCTACCTTGTCTTATGTGTTTTATGTTAATCGATAACATGCCATAGGTATTCACTTATAGAAATTAAATTGAAGTGCATTTTCATAGGCTTACGTTAAGATATGAATGGAAGGAAAAACCTTACTTGACCATCTCCACGGCCATGGCATAGTTATCTTCATGAATGACTTCAGCTGGAAAGAAAAAAAGCAGGTGATTATTATCAAACAAAGATTACTAAAATGAAGGTAAATCGAATCGAACTAACCTTTTGGGTCTGGTTGTTGTTTAATATTCTCCGAAACAGAAGAAAGTGGGTTGCTGAGTGTCGCAGATCGGCAAACTAACTGAAATTTCAAAACAATCAGGGTTGATCATCAAGGGATATCGTGGTTAGAGGTGTCAATTGTTTACCAATATTGAAAGGAAAGATAGTAAACTAATCCACTCAAATAGCACCAATTTGTTCTTAACAAGGATCAAAATGATCATAAGTTTAATTTTACAATATACGGTCATGAGTTTATTACACGGCAACATCTGTACCTTCACTTAATTTTAAGTACACATGCTGTATAAAATTATAATAGTAGAAGAGGTTTAATTTGAACATCTCTGAACGAAACTAAAGTTTGAGCTTAAGACATCCCATACACTTCCTCTAAAATAACTATGAGCAGTATCTTTAGAAGCTACTATAAATTTAATCAGATTTAATTCAGTGTCTTAGTTGCTGCAGTTATTTCCCAGAAGTATTAAAAAGAATCATTGCTGCAAATGGATGTATTTATGCCCTGGAGTTATTTAAAATCCAGCTTACTTAACTAAATTGAGTCTTTACAAAAGCTTTACGATATGTCTTGACTTATGCATCAGACTTGGGCAATGACTACTCATTACGTGATAAGGAAGCTCTGGGAAGTTTTGAGAGAAAGATTTTACGTTGCATTCTTGGTGGGCTTCAAGTGAATGGATCATTGAGAAGTTCTAATTTAGAAATCTAAAATTGACAAAGAACCCAATATTGCAAAATTCGTCAAATTACAGAGACTTAAATGGGTTGGCCATCTGCTTGAAATAAACGAAAATAGCTGCTGCAAGAAAATCGTTCTGGAAAAGCCCATGGGAAATAGACCTAGGGGTAGACCCTAGCTAATATGGATCGATTGTGTCGAAAAAGAGCTTAATATTTTAAAGGTTAAAACTGGAAAATAGTTGGCAACAGTAGAGATGGCCATGTCCCACCCAGGGCTGTCGAGTCATTGAAAAAGTTATTTCCAACCAACAGCTGTTTTCGGATTTATTCAGAAAATGTTTTTCCATAGTAGTAATTCATTACCATATAACATATATTCTGAAATACAAGTCTCTTCCCTCATTCGCTAGTCACTTTATAAATTATTCTACTTTAATTTCGAAAACTGAATCAAAAGTGCTGGAAAGCAGTGATCTCAATTTTTGGCTAGGAAGGGTGCCGCGTTTTATAAAAGCTTGAACGTAAACATTGGTTTAATATTCCATTATTTGCTATAAACAGTTTCTGATAATAAGTTGGTTTTAAACTGGCGGCACATTAACCGTTAAAAAGTCTTTTTTTACATAGAAGTGTCACTTGCAAGAACACAATCAGAACATTTGTGCGGCCTTATATACACATACAAGCTGAGTGTAATTTTAATTTACCATCTTGTAAAGATGGCAACACTAGATAAACGTAGTAGTAGTGCATTGTATGACAAATAACCTGGAGATGTTATTAGCGCCAGAACATGTTGACAATACACAAAAGTAGAATTACAAATTACTATTAATTAATATCAAGTACAGTTACAAATTTAGTACAACAGACATAAAATCAAAAGGAATAAAATGCTAAATATTAAAATGAAGTTAACTCATGATTTATACAATATGAAATGTGAAGCACGTATAAAATCTTAAGACACGAGACATTTAAACTCGTAGCATTAAAACACAAGGATGCAACATCAAATTACACGATAAAAAACCAGTTTCTCTCAAGCAGTGAAATAAACGAACATTGTCATCTTGACCGATTGTTCGGACAAGACGTCAAGAGACAAGTCACTTATTAAAATATTTTAAATGAAGTGTTAAAAGACAAGTGAATTAAAAAAGGGCGCACTGTCACAACACTGACAGCAAGAACGAACAGATTCACTCTCGGCCCTTAAAAGGTACCATGTGAGACATGGTTTTGTTTGGGTTTTATGCGATTACGGAAAAATCTCGAAGGATACCTGCCCAAAGGGAGAGATCCCTTCGCGGAAGACTTAAAATGAAAACCGGCTCGTATGCACGTTACACATGGGGAAAACCACGTGAACACCCATGCAGCCAGCATATTCGCGGGATTTGAACCTCGGACCGAACTACCAGTGTTCAACGACTTTACCAGTGTTCAACGAGTGTTCAACGCTCAGGGGTCACATGCGTTACACGAAAGAGACCAATACGAAGACTGGTTAAAGTTGCTTCTTCCCTTCGGTTTCATATTGAATGCCAGTATTGAACTAGAGGTTTCACGCTTTAAATTTTATTGAGGACCTGGGCATCCCACAGTACCTGCAAATTATTTGAGTCTTCTCTTTATAATTTAAATATTTGTTGGGGCAATATGCTGGCTGCACAAATCAACAGCAGATTTCACTTCGTGAATGTCTACTAGTTAGTTCCCCCCCCCGGATACCATCATGCCCGGGTACCCAACTGTACAGAATTTCGTGGTCATGCTTTTGAGTTTAATTTTAACTTCACAATATCCACGACTGCAGGATTGGTCAAACAGTTAATGAAAACTAAAAATCGTTCAATCCGAATTAATTTCCTTCATTGTTCTACGTTTATGTAGGAGCATTACATATTAAGCATCACAATCAACACCTATATGGAAAATGAACATAGCATTAAAGAAAGCCAGCAGTTTGCTCGCTCAAAAAAATTTAAGGTATTAAAATCCTCGCCGAGTCACTGATTAATGCAACTACTTCGGGTACTTATTAGCCGAGAAAGGCTATTATTCTCGAATGGGCATATTGGATCGAATGACTTAAATGCAGTGCACGACTTCCGAAATTGTTGCTAATAAATATTATCGCCTTGTATTATATTTAAATTAAGTGAAGAAACTGTATCAATGCATACATGCTTCTCACAATGTGAAAACACGATACCTAGAACCATCCAATTTTGAATAACGGTCCTGCACCGAAATATGGGAACTGCAAGCTCGAATTTTGAATTGATTTTATTACCCATTCGATATTTTGTAAAACTAACGAATTTCACTAACAAATCAACGATGTCAAAGGAAGTAGTACCAACACACTGTACGGAACAAAATATTTATCGCCAGCGCGCGAGACTATCCGGAATTCTAAATATATACTGTTTTTAAATATTTTTATTCCAGAAGAATGCTAGACCAAAAAGCTCTCGAAACGTGCATGTGTGTATAAAGGAAAAAATACCGCTTTGGGCGTAATACGAAATCTTAAAATTCAGACTATTTTGTTGATCTGCCAGCTGACCAAGTTACCGAGTAACACCTGATGGCTACCAAAGATTGGTAGGAATTGCCCTCACCGTCGTAACAGTGCAAAATAACAGCAGCAAAAATAATTTTGCCTTGGACAAGGGCGATTGCCCATAAGCATACATTACGATGATTATCTTAGTACATAAAAAATGGTCTAGCATGTCGAGTAAGCAAAAATTTAAGGAACAGCAGACTCAAACTAAGAAACAGCACTACCACCCTGAAATAATTTGGACTTTTCAGAAGAGTTGTTCATATGCTACCGCGTATTCCCCTGGCGAGAAAAATCTTAACATAGAATTATTACTGCGGCTGTTGTGTATTAATGCGTACAGTACAAAAATATATGTACTGCATAGCTGTTTTTACGAAGTACGGGGACTACAAATGGTACTTGCAGATAGGCGTTCCATTATATTTTGTAAAAGGTACATAATGTAATGTTAGGCTAATTTAAGGTATCGAATTTGAGGTTAATTTGAAACTTTCGAGAATTTGGATTTTAGAATACTTTTAGTCAATGAATTTGTGAATGAATTTTGAATCATTATTTACTGAAATTAGTGATAATGCAGTCAAGACGATGATTTAGTCCAAGGGTTCTCAAACGGTGGTACGCAAAGGAAAATATATTTAACTATTAAATTAAAAAATTAAAACCCAACATCCTGACAGTTTTTTTTTCACAAACATTCGCAAATTTGTGCGATTTGAGCTTTGTTCAAGAGTGGTGGTGGTACTAAAGATTCAGTTTTTGTTTAGATGGTACGCATTAGTCAAAAGGTTGAGAACCTGTTTTAGTCAATATTTAATGAATCTAGTCATAATGCAGTCAAGACGATGTACACTTTGCACACACAGAATTGGCGAGAGTTTCATTTCTCCCGCTTTACTGAGCCTATTGATGAAATTGAACTTGTCTTTTTCATGTGTGGGAAAGCGCTAGGTAGAATAAAATATACATTATACTTACATTTAGTATATTTTCCAACAGTTTTTGAAACAAAACCAGACATTTTGTGAAACGACTTACCGATTTGTCTATATTTAGATTCTAGACTCAAATTGCATCTAAATATTTAAATTTGGTGAAAAACGAGAACTGTGGATGTGTCGTAACTTACATTCCTTTCCTCCGCATTGAGCACGACGGAATAGGTGTATCGTTCATTTCCAATAGTTTAATTTGTATTAAACGCAGATGTTACTTTTAAGATCCGTAAAGGACATTTGGCGTTATATTGCTTAAAAAAGGCGGCAATATATAAATCTGTACATACCTTTGAAAATTGATAAAAACTTTCAATTTTTTGGCAGGTATGTGTAGAAATACATCTGCTTAAAGCGACGATAAAAATTATCGCTATAATTTAAATATTTTACGAAAAGTTTAAAAATACTAAATGCAAAAAGTCAAAATTACCGCGAATTTTACTTTGATTGGACCTTAATTTCGAATTATGAAAGAAGGGACTAAGCAAGATTAGTAAGATTAATACCAAATTTGATCAATACCGCGGAGTTAAAATTTTAAGAGCAAATTGTTTAAAAACTACTCGTACGATTTTTACAAGCCTGATCCTTTGACATAATTTGAGTCGTAGAATCGAAATGCAGAAAAACATCGATACGTCATTCAAGAAAAATTCCGATTTTGTGTCAAAATACCTACCTTAAAAAAATCCTGTATATAAATCAAATTATCTTAAATCACTCTTTCAAGACATGAAAAACGCAACTTCAATTTTATAAATCGGCCTAGTAGAACGGGAGATACAGAACTGTCCA